ACACTTGAGGCTCAGCAGGTGGGGATAGGTTCAAGACTGGAGGATTCTTCTTGGCCTTGGCAGGGGTGCGGTGTAGCTCTGCCTGCCTGTTTCCACAGAGGCCCCATGTTGGCAGACTGCAGAGCCAGGTCAGGGGCTCGTGCAGAAACCAGTGCTCCGGGAAGGGAAATGACTGTCCTGTCACATGGCCAGCAAGCAGCCTGGCCTTGGTGAGGACTCATGATGCCTTGTGACTTCCCGCTAGTGCTCCTTCCACTCTTCTTGGCCACGGGCCCCTCGGGCGCCCCCTGCAGTCGAGTGCTCCCAAGGCCGCCTGTGCTCCCTCCACCCAGTGAGACTCCTTCTCTTAATCCTCATTCAGGGCCAAGATGGCCGCAGGTGCCCTGGCTGAGGACAGGGTTGTCTCACTGAAGGGCATTGCTTCTGTAGAGAGATGGCAGCCAGGGGGCGTGGTGAGCTGAGGCCTGCACAACCTCAGGTTGTTTCTCCATAGAGAACGGGCCTTTCTTCCTACCACCAGAGAGCATTGTAAGGTGAAGCAGAGGGGGCTGCTGACATCTCACCGGGAAGAGCGGTGGTGGCAAGACGCCGTCCGTAGAGGAGATCTAGGATCACTGTCACATCAGTAAGGGCAGCTGCTATGTCCTTGCTGTTCAGATGTAGGTCAGGACCCAGCAGCATCAGCATCACCTGGGGGTTTGTGAGAAATGCGGACTCCCAGGCCCCACCCCAGACCTGCTAAATCAGAACCTGCCTTTTAGCAACACCCCAGGGGATTCGTGTGCACATGGAGGCTTGAGAATGACTGCACTGAAAGTGATCAGTAGTGAGATAATGGAGATTTTTATTTTCTTTGTGCATTTTTTTTCTAATTTGTTATTATTGTTATTATTATTATTATTATTATTTTTTTTTTATCCTCACCCGAGGACATTTTTCCATTTTTTGTTCAGATAGAGTGGGAGGGAGAGAGAGGAACAGAGAGAGAGAGAGAAACATCGATGTGAAAGGAACATATCGAGTGGCTGCCACCCACACGACCGACCAGGGCCGGGGACAAAGTGCAACCGAGGTACGCGCCCTTAGCGGGAACCGAACCCGGGTCTCTCAGGACCGCAGGCCGACGCTCTAACCGCTGAGCCAAACCGGCCAGGGCTATTGTTATTATTTTTTTATTGATTTTAGAGAGAGCGGAAGTGAGAGGGGGAGAGAGAGAGAAACGTCAATGACAGAGGACACTGATTGGCTGCCTCCTGCATGCCCCTTACTGGGGATTGGGCCTACAACCTGGGCATGTGTCCTGACCAGGAATCAAATTGGTGACCTCTTGGTGCATGGGTTGATGCTCAACCACTGAGCCACACCAGCTGGGCTATTATTGTATTTTTAAAAATTTTTTTATCCTCACCCAAGGACACTTTTGCATTTATCTTCAGATAGAGCGGGAGGAGAGAGGGAGGGAGAGAGAGAGAGAGAAGCATCCATGTCAGAGAGACACATTGACTGGCCGCCACCCACACGACCCCAACTGGGGTGGGGACAAACTGCAACCGAGGTACCGTACCCTTAGTGGGAACCAAACCCGGGTCTCTCTGCCGATGCTCTAACTGCTGAGCCAAACCGGCCAGGGCTATTATTGTATTTTTTACATGAATTACTTTTTATGTTGTGGTAAATACACATAACATAAGATTTGTCGTCTTAATCATTTGTAAGTACATAGTTCATTGGTGTTAAATATATTCACAAGGTTGGGGCAACCATCACCACCATCCATCTCCATAACTCTTATTGTGTTCAAAACTGAAACTCTATCCCTATTAAGCAATCCCCATTCCTTCCTCCCCCCAGCCCTTGGCAAACACCATTATACTTTCCTCTATGAATTTAGCTACTCTAAGTACCTCATGGGAGTGGAATCTACAGTATTTCTCTTTTTGTGACTGGCTTAGTTCACTTAGCATAATGTCCTCAGGGTTCATCCATGTGGTAGCATATTGCAGTTTCCTTCCTAAGAATGAATACTATTCCACTGTATGATATACCACATTTGCTTAACCATTCATTCACTCATTTATGGACATTTGCACTGCTTTCATGTTTTAGCTCCTGTGAGCATGGGTGTAAACTTTCTCTTTGAGACCCTTCAGTTCTTTTGGATATAGACCCAGAAGTGGAATTGCTGAGTCATGTGGTAATTCTGTTACATGAATTACATATATGATCAGAAAAAACAGCAAAGACGCCCTGGCTGGTTTGGCTCAGTGGTTATAGCGAAGGCCCACGGACCAGTGAGACCTGGATTCGATCTGGCCAAGGGCACATAATCCATTGTGTCTCTTCCCAGCCTTGGTCAGTGTCGTGGCCCTGGTCAGGGTCGCGGCCCTGGTCAGGGTCGCGCTGGAGGCAACCAGTCAATGAGTCCCTCTTGCATCGATGTTACTCTCTCTCTCTCTTTCTTTCTCTTCTCTCTCCCTCCCTCCTAATCTGTCTAAAGATAAATGGCAAAATATCCTCAGGTGAGGATAAAAAAACCCCAGCAAAGACATTTCGGGGGTGAGGGAAACCTTGTCAGGTTTCCAGCCAGCACTGCACGAGGGCCAGTAGAGCTGTGGTGCAGTTCTTGGGAAAAGGGAGAAAGGAAACCTGGCTTCTGTGTTCTGGTGCTGGAGGAGAACAGGATCAGCCTTCTGCTCAACGAGGAGCAGGGTTTGTGGATAGACACAGGTGTCAAGAGAGATGTTAGAGGACCTTGGATGGGCGGGGTCTTCATCATGAGTGATACTTCAAGGTGGCCTCTTGACTGGTGGGCACGATGTGTAGGCTGTCCTTTCTCAAACCCTCTTCCGGTGAACTAACAGTGGCAACATTCGGGCAGTCAGCGGTGTACTGTGTGTTTGCGGAGTGGCCACCCTCTGGTTTTATCTCCAGGCCTGGAGTGAGGGAAGAGCCTGTGTGGAGGTAGTTCTAACTCAGGCGTTTGAAGGGATGGTCTTGGGTCAAGGCCACAGTTCCACCAGTTAGTATTCAATTTATAACAAAACTAAGCCCTTTTTCATGGGCCATGAGATCCTTTATGACTTGTCCCTGTCCTTGTGTCTGATCTTTACTTCCCTTTTTTTGTTCAAGTCACAGCAGACTTCCTTTTGGACCTGGAAGACCAGAAGCCAGGTGTGTTCCTGCCTCCTGGGCTCTACTTGGCTCTTTGCTCTGCCTGGTTGGCCATATCTTTCCATGGCCGCTCCTTCTCTTTATAAAGGGCTCAATGTCACCTGGGCAGAGGGGCCTTCCTTTCTCCCTGTCTCATCAGCCCATTTGGTTTTTCTCCCTGGTATGGACCTCTAACATCATCTCATTTATTTGTTTACTTAGGTTCTGTTTGTTTCTTTCTAATAGAATGTTTGCTCCATGAGAAGATGGCTCTGTCACAGCATTTATCTCCTGTGTCCCTGGCCCTTAGAATATTGCCTAGCATACATGTGAAGTTAAATAGATACTGAATGAGTCAATGCACACAGTTATTTGTCCTCTCTGAGCTTCAGTCTTCCCATCTGTGGTATGGGGATCCTAATACCTGGCTTGCAGGGTAGGTGTGAAAACTATAAGACATACTGCATGCAGAGTAGTACTCAGTTGAGTGCCTGGTGTGCAGGAAATGCTCAATACAAGGTCACAGTTGTTATCAACCTGGTGGCCTTGGCATGACTTGGATGAATTACTTGGCCCTGGCATGACTTGGATGAATTGCTGACCTTCTCTGAGGTGGTGCCCTGCTGTGCTCCCTGGTGAAGCCCATGTTGAGTTGCCCAGCAAAGAAGCAGTGTGGTGGCAGTTCAAGACCTGTAGCGTGGAACATCTGCTCTTGAAACCCTCACTCCGAATCTCCTTTGAAACAACTGTGCTCTGTTCTGTATGGTGCGTCATGACATGTAGCCATGTCTTTGTTGGTTGGAGTTACTGGACCTCTTGTGGAGTATCAGATGTAGCTATACAGTGTTCTGCCGGGTACTTTGAAATGTCCTTGCCCAGACCCCCTTTAAGTGGAAGTTCAGTATATGCCATCGTGTATCAGTTGAAGAAGCTTTTGGCTGTAAGCCACGGACCAGTGTACAGTGTTTTGAACAAATGGAGTTATTTGTGTATCAGAGGTAGTAGATTTGTAGTATTGGTTCAGCAGCAAAATGACATCAGGACTGGTGTCTTTGTAATCCTCTTGGCCTTCCCTCCAGGCTTTTTGCTTCATGGTAGCAAGATGCTGCTCCGCTCCACCCAGTGTGTTTATGATTAAGGCATGAAAGAGGGAAGAAGGAAGGAAGCCATTAACATCTGTTCTTTTATCATGATGGCATAATTTTCCTAGAACCTTCCTTGTGTACTTCTGCTTGCATCTCATTAGCTAGAACTTCTTAAGGTCAGCCTTATAAGAGAGGCTTAGAGAAGGAGTAACGATGTTTTCCAGCCTGTGTTGCAGGGGCGTGGGAAAAGGATGTTGGAGAAGACGGTGAGGGGAGGCAATGGGCAGGCCTGCATGGTAGGAAACCTGTATTTTAATTTAGATCATTGGTTCTCAGCCAGGGGCAATTTTTTCCCTAGAGGACATTAGAGACATTTTTATTGCCACAAGTAGGGTGTGTCACATGTGTGCACATGAGCGCTTGCGCTGATGGTATCTAGTGGGTAGAGGCCAGGAATGTTGCTGGACATCCTACAATTCACAGGGTAGCCCGCACCATCTGGCCCAAATGTCAGTAGCGCCAGGGTTGAGTAACCCTGCGTTAGACTGTTGCCAACACATTCTTCAAATTTGGGGACCATAGTTTAGCTGCTTTCCTATGTTTCAGTGACAGGGAAATTGTCAAACTTCATTGTAATAATGCAGATTATTGGTGCTGACCTTGTTACTGATTTTATTAAACAGAAGGCTGACACTGGTTGGAGGCAGCTATATGGTATATGTCAGAAATTCTTGATAGAACTAATGAAACCTTGTTGCATTTCAGGATCACAGAACAATGACATGAAAAGACAATTTCTGCTGGAGCGACTGCTGGATGCAGTGAAACAGGTAAGAGGAAAGCTTATGTTGGACCTTGAGATCAAGTAGTAGGATCAGATAATTAATGTAGAAGTCATCTCGGTTGTGCTATATAGACGGACTTACTCCCACGTTGTATCTGGGAACAGTGAGGCCAGTACTTTTCCCCGGAAGATGATAGAGCAGGGAAGGCAATCAGAGGTAGGGACAGAGGTGTTCCTGTGTCCTGACTTTCTAAAGCCCTCCAGAGGACCCCATCCTTCAGTGATGTCCCTTTGAGAAGGGCATTGCTATGGGTTTCAAAGTCTCATTTCCAAGCAGTTGTGTTTCAGGGCAACTCTTACGGGTGCTCAGGTGGTGGTTGGGGTTAGGATCCTGTGAGCATAAAAATAGAGACAAGGAGGAATGAATCATGCCCAGGATTGATGGTATGGACCCTCCAGGTGGGCTGTGCTCTGAGTGGTTGATGCTGTTTTGGTGTTTGGCTTTTGGCTGGGTGGGAAGTGAGCTGTGACTTGAGCTGGCATAACTTTGCTTGTCTGCGTGTACCATGCATGCATCATTTATTGCACATTCACTGTGTGCTAGGCTCTCTGCTAAGTGTTTTGCATGTAATCCTTCCAACTGCCCTGTGAGGTAGTTTCTACAGTTATTTCCATTTTATGGCTAAAGAAACGGAAGCTCAGAAAGGTTCAGTAACTTGCTTACGGTGTCATAGTTAATAAGTAGCAGAGCTAGGATCCAGCCCCGGGATTTATAGGTAGCTCACATTTTGAAAGGGGCAACTGACAATTATATCCATGTAATCACAAAATAGGAAGACAGGAGATAAACACTTTAATAAAGGTGTGAGTTAGGTGTTGACTGTGTTAGGTGAGCTCAGAGAATTTAGCATCTGCCCAAGCCTCGAGGAGCCCTGATATGATGCAAACAACACAGGCTCAGGTGTAGCTGGGATCTAAGGCCAGTTTCACTTCTTCCCAGCTGTGTGTACTTGGGCAACTCATTTAGCCTCTCTGGGCATCCTTCTCCTCTGTAGTCTGTTCACTGATCTCCACAGGCTGTTGAGAGAGTTGCATTTGTTAAAGTAGGTCAAGGCCTGGCCACCTCCTGGTCCACTGGAAATATGGAGCACACATTATTCTTTTCTTCTTTCTTTGCCCCAGAAATGGAAAATATGACAAGAAGATGAGGCATGTGGAACCACTTTAAGTGTAGCAGTTAAACAGAAATAAATTGGAGCTTATACCCAGATCTGTCATTATTATTATTATTATTATTATTATTATTTTTTGAGGTAGGGGGTAAAAGTGATATATATATGCCTTTTATAAATCAACTTTATTGAAGTATAATTCACATACAATAAAATACACCAATTTTGAGTGTGCAGTTCAGGAATCTTGTAAGTCTGCTACCCACAGCAGAAATTCTGCACCTTTAAAGGAGAATAGTGGATTTTGGTGATGGTTGCACAATATTGTTAATTGAATTGTATAACTAGAAATAGTTTCACTGGTAATTTTATGTTTTGTGTATTTTACCACAATTAAAAAAAAGGAGAACAGTTTGCTTTTTTTTTAATTGATTTTTTTTTTTTCTCAGAAAGAGTAGAAGGGAAGGAAGGAGGGATAGAGGGAGAGACATCGATTGGTTGCCTCCTGCATGCTCCTTGACTGGGTTTGGGAATCTAACCTATAACCCAGGTACGTGCCCTTGACTGGGAATTGAACCCGAGACCCTTCGGTGCAGTCTGATGCTCTAATCGCTGAACCACACCAGCCAGGGCAAGAATAGTTTGCTTTTGTTGGTACCCACCCTGGGTAAATTGTCATTCAGCATAACCAGCTGACTTGTTTGAAGCATGATTTTTAAAAAAATTCTCACTTGAGGGTATATTTTTATTGATTGTAGAGAGAGGAAGGAAGAAACAGAGACACACATCAGTGTGAGAGAGAAACATTGATGGGTTGCCTCCCATAGGCGCTCTGACCGGGGATTGAACCTGAAACCTAGATATGTGCCCTGACCGGGTAGCAAATCTGTAGCCTTTTGGTGTAAAGGACGACGCTCCAGCCAACTGAGCCCCCAGGCCAGGGCTGAAGTGTGATTTATACTGTCATTATTTTCTAGCCAGTCATAACAGCCATGGGCCCTGTCAGAAGGGACCCATCGTTGCAGATTTGTGGAAGTTTTAATTATTGCCTGATAAGAGCCCTGTGTTACATAGCCAGCTGCTGACACACGGAGCTTTCCTAGATAATGTGCAGAAGCTGTGTGCTTGTTTTCCTCCTAGCATTGTTTCCCACAGGCTCACTTCTGTACAAGGGGGAGGAGATAAGGGCTTCCTTTAAGTGGCAGTTGGAAGGCTGGGGTGTCCATCTCACATCCTGGGCTGACACCCAGGGCAGGGTGATGGTCTTCTTCGGCACCCAGAGTCTCTGGCCCTGTGCCCCTGGCCGACCCTGAGGCCTGTGTGGGCTCTTTCGTGACAGTTGAGTGTCCCATCCCAACAATTGATCTCAGTGGCTTCTTTTTCTGTGCAGTGCCAGATCCGCTTTGGAGGGAGAAAGGAAATCGCCTCGGATTCCGACAGCAGGTAAATATGTCGCTTCTAGAACCATTTACTGTGTAAAGCAGAAAGGTGATTAGAGACCACAGCTCCGCAGCCACGTGGTGCGGTGATTGAGTCTGGGTGGTCAGTGGCCCGTCTGTGCAGTGGCTGCTCTGAAGAGTTCCCAGCGTCCCGTACTCTCCTTTAGGAGCCTGTTCTGAGGGAATTCCTTGGAATACCTGCTGTGTAAAGTTATTGTCAGGGAAATTTATAATGCTGAAAACTCGGAAATCTAAATGCTTGGCAATTGGGAAATGGTTAATAAAGTGTAGTGCATCAGTGGAGTGGAAAGTTATATAGCCACTAAATCGATGTCTGTGCAGCATTTTTTAGAAGCAGAAAATGTATGTGTAGAATGAAAAATCATATATTAAGTAAAAATAACAAGAGCAGGATACAAAATTATATGGGTGCAGAGTGATACTAGTTATGTTCAGCAACTCTGGCAAAGAATGTACCAGAATGTGAACAGAGGTAATGTTGGAGTTAAGATTATTGGAAATCTTTATATTTCCTGATATTTTTCATATTTTATACTGTGATTGTGTGTTCCTTTTATAACTAAAAAAAAAATCCTGCCCTGGCCAGTTTGGCTCAGCGGTTAGAGCGTTGGCCCACAGACCAAAGACTCGTGGGTTCGATTCTGGTCAAGGGAACAGACTTTGGTTGCAGTTTGATCCCTGGCCCTGGTCAGGGTCATGTGTGAGGCAACCAGTAGATGTGGCTCTCTCACATCGATGTTTCTCTCTCTCTCTTCCTTCCCCCACTCTATCTGAAGATAAATGGAAAAAAATATCCTTGGATGAGGATTAAATAAAAAATAATCCTAAGACTTGCCATTGACCTCATGACCCAGGAAGGGCTGGCATACGCCTATAGCGTTGACTGGGAGGCGACACAACGGTTTTGGCAGAGGAGAGACACGCAGGCCTTCTCTGGAAAAGTGTTGAGAAGTCGTTGGAGCCGATGCCTGCCCTGCGTGGTGGAGAGCCAGGAGTCACGCTCCTGCCAAAGAAGGGAAGGGAAGGAAAGGGAAGGGAGCTCCCTTGCTCAGCACTCATCCCATCCTGGAGACTTTCCAAGTCCCGCACCCTCTTACCCTGCCCACCCAGCGGAGCACTTCCCTTCTCTGTCCTTTCCCAACCTTGTTCTGGGACACTTGGCCACCATGAGCGCAGCCTGTAGTGCTACGTTCGAACAGAGCCCTGGGGACTGAAACCGGGGGAGAGTTAACGTGCTACCCCCTCCCTTACTCTTCCGCCTCTTTTGGCTTTGTTTTTTTCACAATACTTATCGCCAACTGCTAGCAGTGTACATTGTGCTTTTCTATTTAGTTTATTTCTGTGTCCCATACCAAAATGTCAGCTCTGTGGGGGGTAATGTTATGCTGTCTTGTTCACTGACATACTCCCAGTCCCTAGAAGCATCTAGAAGGTGCTCAGTGAAGATTCGCGGTCCGGTTGAGTGCGTACATTGCATCGTACCATAGTCAAGTGTTTAAATAACTGAGCCACTAGAGGCTTGTCAGCTTTCAGGGCAGAGGGCAGCTTCTCCATTTTTTCACTTCTCAGCATTTTGCACAAACATTTTATGCTTGTCACACATTAGGTTTTCAGTATACATTTGGGGCATTAGATCATCAGACGGATTTATTGCCTCAGTTCTTCCAGGGGGCTGTCGATGTGCCCTGTGCAGGCTGGCATGAGTGTGCATGGGCCCTCAAGGCCCAGCTTTGAGACCTGGCTCTTCCTCCTTCGAGCTGTGTCACTTGCCTTACCCGCTAAGCCCAGGAATTAGGTCTACTGTGATACTGTGATTAATAAGAAAGATACACACTTGTCCTTTGTCCCCATTTCTGGCACTGAGCTCCTAAAACCCCTGGAATTTTCAGTGTTGATATCCAGAAAGGTGTCTTTTGTTATGTCAACATAACGACTTTTGGAAAGCACCAAAGTTAGAGGCTGTTTCCAGGAGAACCTGTGGTTAGAGGGTTGGAACCTCAGTCCCACACCCCCACCTCTGGGCAGAGGGACCTGAGATGGAGTTCAGTTGCTAATGGCCAGTGATTCAATCAATTTTGCCTATGCAACGAAGCCTCCATAAAAACCCAAAAGGAGAGGGTTCAGAGAGCTTCTGGGTGGGTGAGCACTCGGAGGAGCCGGGAGAGGCCCTCCCTGCGAGAGCATGCAGCTCCATGCCCTTCCCACACACACGCTACCTGTTTCTGCTATCTGGCTGTTCCTGAGGTATAAGCTGTTTAAATAAACTGGTGATCTAGTAAAGAACATATTTCTCTGAGTTCTGTGAGCCACTCTAGCAAATTAATCAAACCCAGAGAGGGGCTCATGGGAACCTCTGAGATATATAGCTGGTCAGTCAGAAATACAGGTGACAACCTGGAGTTGTGTTTGTCGCCTGAAGTCAGGGGCTGGTACAGTCTTGTAGGATTGAGACGTTGACCTGACGTTGGGATCTGACACTGTCTCCAGGCAGATAGTGTCAGAGTTGAACTATAGGACGCCCAGCTGGTGTTGGAGTATTGCTTGGTGATAGGGGGAAATCCAAACTGGTATCTACCAGCCAGCTGTGAGGATTCAGTCACATACTGTGTGTAAAAGTGCCAGACAGGTAGAAGTGCTAGTTTCACTCCATATAAGCAGGTCCTTGTCCCTTGGGGAGGGAAGGCTGGCTGGGACACTTGTTACCTAACTTGTGGCACCTACCCACGCAGGTAGTAGACTGCAAATAGCTGGAAGGGTGGAAGTGAATTAGTGAGCCTGTTACTGTTCTTGTTTTGCTCTCAAAGGAACAATGGAAGATGGAGGATTTCTTTTCATGTGACTCTGGGCATAGTTCTCAGTCCCATTCGGAACTTCTTGTATATGTCTCTTCCCACATCATTCTCCTCCAGGAATCTAAGCCCTTGTGTCCACTAAGAGTAAGGGATAACGAAGAGATTTTTCATAAGAGGCCAAGTGTTATCTTTGAATGCATTTTACATTTACTGTCTTGGGGAAAGTTTTAGGCAGGGCTGTGAGGTGTTGGCTTGTGATTGCAGCTAGAGAGTTCAGCTGGTCAGACGGACATCAGTAGGAACCGTGGAAAGGATGGTACACTGGTGTATCTGCCAGGGCTCTTTGGTAAAGAAATCTATTCCAGTTAAGGATATTGTGACCTTAGGGAATGATGGCAGGCCAGGTTTGGAAACAGGAAGGAGTCAAGACAGCTTTGGAAGGCTCATAAGCTTGAGGAAATAAGAGTCCAGAAATGGTCTCCTAGAAGGGATGCTCATCTAGTTGAGGCCCTCACTGCTGGAGTGAACACCAGCTGTTTTCTGACTCTCTCTCATTCTCTTCAAGATTGACCTTCCAGGGAGGAAGCACCTGATTGATTGCTCAGTCTCAGGTCACAGCCACCTGCTGGCCACCAGCAGAAGGATTTGGCTGAAGGAGTTTCTTGGGACTCCGATGCCTTACTTAGTGTGAGCCATCCCATCAAGATGGTACCCAAGGAGGAAGAAATAAACCTTCAAAACGACATCTAGGTGCTGTTATGAAGGTGGAATAAATATGGGGTGACCAAAATGCCTGTCCCCTGTTGCTGCTGAATTGTAATGATACTCTTTCTTATGACAGCGCTATCTGGTTTAAAAATGCTGATGTCTGCACCATCTGTTTCATTTGATCCTCAGAAGGACCCCAGGAGAACAAGAGGGGATATATTTTCTACTTCACAGGCATAAAAGCTTGGAGGCTGGTCACTTGTGCAGCATTTATTTAGCAGCTCCTGAGAGTTGGTGCTGGGGGCACAGGCCTCGGTGAGGTGGGTCGCACGGTTGTTAGGTGGTGGAACGGGACCGGAGCACAGACTTCATGTTCCCAGTGTGGTCCTCACTCACCAGCACTACATCCCCTTGTGTTTTTCTGGTCGAGTTTTCCAGATTGAGAGATTCGTATCACTTCAGGTACTTAACATTATTTTAAGTGTTGAAAGTCATGGCATTAAATTTCTTTCAATTGCCTAGTGGCTCAGTTCTTTTCTTTTTCTTTTTTTTTTTTATCCTCACCCGAGGACATTTTTTTTTTTTTCATTTTTTGTTCAGATAGAGTGGGAGGGAGAGAGAGGAAGATAGAGAGAGAGAAAAACATCGACGTGAAAGGGACACATCGAGTGGCTGCCACCCACACGACCCAACCAGGGCTGGGGACAAACTGCAACCGAGGTACGTGCCCTTAGCGGGAACCGAACCCGGGTCTCTCTGGACCGCAGGCCGACGCTCTAACCGCTGAGCCAAACCTGCCAGAGCTCAGTTCTTTTCTTTTAAATTCTCTTTATGACTTACTGATATTGGGGACAAGACTTGGTTTGGTGTTGATACTGTTAAGTTGAGTGAAAAGAAATTGCCAATATTTGATTGTTCTTGACCTACGAAAACAACAGTATCATACAGTTGAAAATAATGATCTCTGACAGCCCCTTCCCCTCTTCAGACACTGTGAGGTTTCAGGCTCCGTCTCCCTTGTAGGGCGACTCTCCTTCGAGCCCATCATGTGGGCTTTCCTTTTGCAATAGCGATCGCGTTTTTCCTTTTGAGACAGGGTTACGTGGAAAAAGTGAGTCACATTCAAGACAAGTAACTAACAGTAATACCCTCGGATGCGACAAAGTGGCCGAGGTGTTTGGGAAAGAGCATGCTGGCGGGACTGAAGCTGTTGTTTGGGTTGGGGGCCTAAATGGCGCTCAGTGTTTTTCAGCTAAAACCAGAACGCAGAGTGTGAGCGTGTGTGCGTGCACATGCGCATGCGCGAGGAAGGTTCGCGCTCCTGCGAGACGACACAGCAGGATGCACCGCCCTCATCTGAGGAGAGCAGCATGTTCACGAAGGGAAGGGACAGGCAGGGCTTGTTTCCCATCAGATTTTGTCTTTAGAAACCTCCTCCGAGGATGTGGCGGCAGCCCCTGGGCTCCTCACCCTGTTCTGTCGG